TGCCTTTGTCCAGTTCTTTTTTCCCATATGGTATCTTATTTGTCATATGGAGGCTGCAAAAATACCCTTTTAGAGAATAAATTAGAAAAATGAAGCATAAACAATAAAGCCTGCTCAGCAGTCATGTTTTCCAGTGCTCTGTAGGGTAGCTGCAGGAATTTTCCATGCTGTGAGTGTTAATGAGACCCTCCATAGGCACCATTAATACATAAAAGCAATCACCTATAACTCACCTTTTCAAATCTGTACTTCTTGAATTTAGTAACTGGAAGCAAAACAGGAAGCATCATGCAAATGCCACCCTCATTTACTGATATGCAACCATTAGCCAAAAAGGGGATGACAACTGGAAAGTTATCACCGTACATAAATGCTTCAATAATCAAGCACAGAGTCCAGAAGCACTTGGAAAACATGTACAGTTTTGAAGACTACAAAACTGTTCCTAAACATATGGTTTTCCTGATGGAAGAAAACATACTTATAGGAACTACTAATTAGCTAAAACTGGCTGGAATCAAGATACTTAGGTACTTAGAACAGAATGGGTATCTGACCAAACTCTATAATGACAGTAATCTGGCATGAAAAAAAAATCTTACAAAGATTTTATACAGTTTATTTCCAAGGTGTGGTTTATCTTTTACAACATTTATTTAAATGAAAGGGAGGGAAAATTTCAAATTTTCCACGTGGATGCCATGGAAGTTCTGGCTAACAGTTGCCAACATGAGACAATTGTCACTAACCAGTACCTCACACAAGCAAGTTTCCAAACCAGGTGCTGGACTTCAGCCAAAGACAGCCCAACCAATCTATGAGGGACCTCAAGGTTTTGGTATATGGTCCCCCATCTCTATTCCATTTCTGAACTGCCAACCCCTTGGGCAAAGACATGTGTGGGGTCTGTCAGTCCTTACTACTTCACAAATTTTAAAGTGAAAGATAATTAGTTCAATTCTGCCAAAAATGCACAGCTTAGGATATTTCTTGCTATATTTAGTGACAGAAACGTGAAACAGTAATGCCTGATAACTATCTAGCACTCTGGACTGGGTTCAGAGTGATTTCTCTGTTCCATTTACTGGCAAGTTTCTATATAATTTGAACAGATACCCAGAAATGAGATGCATTTTTTTAAACAAGTCCCATCTCTTCCTCAAAAACGGACACTGACTTCTGGTAAAAGCTTGCTTTAGGTCATCCTTTCTCAGCTGCATTTCTGCTTCTGATGATGTAAATTAACACTTGGGTTTTGCACAGTTCTCATTACCCATAACTGATTTAGGTAGGACATCCTCTGAGCAGGACGTCCCCTCTGAGTACGGGGCTCTGAGCAACCTGATCTCGTTAGCAGTGTCCCTGCACACTGCAGGGGGGGTTGGACTAGATGACCTCTAGGGGTCCCTTCCAACCCAAACCATTCTATGATTCTATGATCAATGCAGTCCTTTTTGCTGGGTAAAGATACTTTTTTGAATACTACTACCTGCTGGATGAGCCCAAGCATGTAATTTGGGTTGCAGTTCTAAGCCAAACACACCAAATACGTATCACAGGTATCTCGCAAAGCCAGCTTTGCTAGAGATTAGTTCCTGCCCTTCCCTACCCTTTTTCTGGGTTTGATGCCTGTCAGGCCCATCACAGTAATTTCAGCATGCTAAGTTGTCAAAGACACTTTTATTTTGGTGGTCAGGTTGGCTTCCTGATACCTTAGTGCGCTACAAGAGCTGAGTCAGCATCTGGGGTGAACTGAAGCATTCGAAAGAAGGAGGGTAGTAAGTGAATAGGGTGAAAGACAGCAGCCAGCAGATAAACGGGTTTGGCTGTTCCCACACTTATTTACAGAATGAAATGCACTTCCTGAGTGCACTTTGCTTTCATAGAAGTGAAAAATTACTGTGGCTGTACATGAGATTTTCATCCTTAAACTCAAATAAAATACGACTTCAGAAATACTCATTATGCAAATACATAACCGAAAATAATAAATGCACCTCAATAGCTCTTCATAGAGCCAAAATATGATGATGGACAAACTTGAGAATGGTAATTTATTTGAGATAAACTATCTACAAATGTGACTTGCTAGAACGGGGGGCACCATGACAGCAGCCATTTTCATCTAAGACTAAAATTTCTTTTGCTTCCAATTTTAGACTGGAATATCACCAGCAAGGAGTGACATACTGTTATTTGGTGGTTTCAGTGAGTGGTTCACATAACTGAAATATCATTTCCTCTCATCTGGATTCCATCAAATAACTTAGAAAAAAGTAAATTCCGTCACTGTTCATGTTCCCAAGCAGCAGTAGCTGAACTGCAGTTTTCAAAGGCAGAAGGCTTTATACACTATCCCAGTGGCATGTTAAACCACTGTGTCAATTACTATTGTAATCTACATCATCTACTACATCTCCC